ATATGTATATGTTTTTATCGAAAAATTACAGTTTGATACAGAGTTATAGTTATAGCCAATTCTTTTCTTTCTTGGCTAATTTCACTTAGTTGGCATGGTATTCTTACTCTGTTGTGATTTATAACATAAAAACACAGAATATATTATTAAACGGTTCTTTACGATTTACATTACGCAAACTAAAACTTCATAATATCACTACCCCATACACTTAAGTTATTTTAGAAAATGTTCTCCCGTACCGCCTCTTCGAGGGGGCCCATGCAATTGGTCCACCATCCACCTCTTCCGATCCCTGAGTTTGCATAATTGTGATATAAATAATATAATTTTTAACATTTCTTTCAATATGGGGGGGGGGGAAGTTTCATAATGAAAGTCATATATTGGAACCACCCTATTGATGCGCGACTATCTAAATTTAACTTTTCTAACATGTCTTGAAAACCGTTCTCTTAAAAAGGTAAATAACGTTCACGACGTTAGGAGGACGCAATCTCATTAAGGATGTGATTATCTACAACTTTTATCGGAAAACTTTTTGATTAAAATAGACTATAATGGAATTAGGAACAATTTGTAAAATAGCCAAAGTTTTTTTTTTTCGAAATATCTAGTAATCCATGAACTTTTTCAAAAATCTGAAAGGCGCATATTTATGACCTCACAAAACTGCAATTCTTTCCCCATTTAACCGACTCTCTATCTGCAGTAGTTTTCGAGAAACCTATAGAGAACGTCGTAGAAAACACCCTGTGTATTGAAAATACTGAAGACCATAATATAAACAGAATAAAAAATAAATTTTGCATTATCTAATTAATTTATTTTCCTGATACATTTTTTTAATGAAAATGTACCTACTTGAATTATTTCAGTTAGATGTATTCTGCTTTTAGAAAGTTTTATGGTTTAACGGGATTTGTGTATGAGTTAAAATAATGAAATTTTTAGTTTTTATAATTCTTCACACATACAAAGTTAAAGCAAACTTGATTTTAAAACTCTGGCCATATTTTACATTAATAAAGATTTAATTGGTGTAATAAAGATTTAGATGGTGTATTAAGTACAATATATTTATTTTAATGTCAAATAATATTGAAGCAAGTTGCAATTTTTTGAACATTTAATCAAGAATGTAAAAAGTTTTATGTTTTTAAAAAAATATATCGTAAAATTCGTTAAACAATCAATCTTGAAATGAATAAAATAAAACAAATTAAAATAGGTATGTAACTTTTTTTGAATATTAATTATCAGCAATTAACATTATCATAAATTATAAATAATGTACCAACATATCGAAATAATAATTTCTTTGTTAATACGGTTTAGAATTCTTAAAATAACAGGCAAAAATAATCCACAATTTACAATAAAATAAAAGTTTCGTTTAAATTTATTAATCAGCTGATCACTATTAAAGTTCGCAGAAACCCGGGCTATATTATTACATTACTCTGAGGAAAATAACGAAAATAATCGATATTTTTGACTCCGCCCCGAAAGGTTCACGATTTGTCCTCCAGTTGGCAGCACATTTTGTCTAGTCGGTTGGGCAACTTTAAGAATATATAAACAAGGATAATACTAAAATAATAAGTTTTAGTATTAATACTTAATATAGGTATAATAATTATAATAGTTTTACTATTATAATTATTATACCGATTTGGTCATTTTAGAAGTGGTCTGGATTTTAACGTGTAAAACAGTGTAGGCAGCTTAATGGAAAATCAAATGAATAAAAAGACATTATTATCACTCAGAATAAAATGACATATCATATGTCAACTTTTGACATTTTCGCATATGGTTTATTTGAAATTGTAACATGCGGTTCATAACGACAATTTGACTCGAAATACCAAGTTTGTGGTATTAAATTATTAGCAAAAAAATTATTTTTCCAAATATGCTAATGAGTCACCGTCATTCCATTTGAAAAAATTGAAATATGATTAAAAATACGATTTGGGCATCTTTTAACCGGCCAGGACAAGACACTAAAAACATTAGACGATCAAATCTATTTTTCCAAGGTTCCTTGATTAAAAATTAGTGTTTTTAACACAGTCATGGCAACCTGCGGCATTTCTGCGGCAACCCCAAAAACGCACAGTATGCCACAGGGCTTAGTTGTTGGATGTTTAATATTTTTTGTCATAAAGTTTAATAGAGGAATAGATAGAGGAAGTTCAAAATAAAAGAATATCAATAATATACATATGTAAAAACTGATAAAAGTTTTAAAAAAGGATATACATATTTTGTTTAGTAATCTCTATTAAATTTTAACTATTTATATTATTATACAGGGTTCGGCAATAGTGCGTTGGGCAGCTGTAGTTCCTAAAATAAAAAAAACTTAGCAATTTGGTTTAAGTGCAAACCTAAAGTATGTATTAGGATGTATGTCAGGAAAATAATTTACCCTCTACAGGGCGACTCCAAAAATTGTGAGTGGATCAGGATGATTTTTTTTAAATGGAGCACCCTGTATATTATTACATTTTTGGCTTCCTTTCTGATCACTTTGCATAATCTTAAGATCTTTTTAAATAAGTTTTGTTAGTTTCAGAGATATATTAATAAATAAATAAAAAAATATATTTTTTCAGCCTTTTTTAAAGAAATTATTAAAAATACAAGTCTAACCTAACTGATCCGAAATCAAAACTATATTAGGTGTTCACTTTAGATGGTCTGTACTTACTTTGCTATAAATGTCGTAATCTTAAATCATACAGGGTGTTCAAAATTCTACGTCAAACTTTCTAAAATATAAAATAATATTTCTTCGTTATTTTAAATGGATCACCCTGTATATTATTTCTTCAATAGATGGATAATTAAAAAATAATCATTTTTTGTATTTAGAGTATTTCAACATTTTTAACGGTTTCGCAGATATTTGCGGTTTTATATTTCATACGGCATTTTCCATAGTAAACTTTTAGCAAAGCCACCCAATGATTCTTCTCTCGTATTTTACCGTTGAAAGAGCCATATGAAATAATACCGTGAGTATCTGCGAAGCCGTTAAAAATTTTGAAATACTCTAAATACAAAAGATGTTCATTTTTTAATTTTCTTCTTCTTTTTAATTTTTTTATTTATTTGTTAATATCTCTGAAACTATCAAAATATATCTACTCATATCTTAGGATTATGTAAAGTGATCTGAAGGGAAGCCAAAAATGTAATAATATACAGGGTGTTCCATTTAAAAAAAAATCATCCCGATCCACTCACACTTTTTTGAGCCACCCTGTAGAAGTTAAAATATTTTCTTGAAATACATTCTAGTACATACTTTAGGTTAGCACTTAAACAAAATCTCCAAGATTTTTATTCTAATTACAGTTAATGTAATTACAATTGAAGGGTACAGGGGAAAACGTCATTTTACTAATTTTACATGAGAGCACTGGACGGTTGGTAGTTATCAGGTTCTTTCCGTGTATTCTATATTTTTCCTAGGCATATATATATCGTAGGATTTAACAACTTATTGCCCTGCAGAATTACCTATTATTGACCAGTTAGACTCACTAAAACGTCGTACAAAATAAAAACCGTTGCATGTCATCGAGCACGTGCGTTGATTGTAGACAGCATTGTTGCCAGATTGTAATCGGAAGAGAAATCAAATATTCAAATATTTTTGAAAAATTTACTATATCTAAGATCTATTAAAAATTCTAAAATAAACTTTAAATTGTTAACAGTTTTAAATAGTTTCAAAAATATTTTTAAACAAAACTTGTTTTTTTATTGTTTAAATTTTTTTTAATGGTTTAAAGAACATTGTAAATACAAAAAAGTCGAAAATATGTTTACAACACTTTTATACTCTGTTTTAAACCATATCATGTTGAGTAATGATAAAGCCAAAGGACAAAACTTAATTCGATTTTAGAAACCTTAATGGTGCTCCTCCAAGTAGTAGTACAGAATTAATAGTTTATTTAGACAATATTAAGTTGAGCTGATTACTCTGTTTTTTATTCCTTTTGTATTATAGTTGTTTTTTTTATTTTGGAAGAGTTTTTCTCATTTTTTATTGAAATAAACACCTACACACCAAACCTATTTAATACTCTTTAAAACAAGTGATGGTGTCTTAAAAACATTGTTTTAAACATTTTCCGAAACGTTAAGCATTTTTTTCTTTGTTAGGCAAATTTGTATAACTGTAAACAAAACTTCTGACAAGTAGTGTCCGTTTAGATTTAAAAAATAACTATTTTATTTTGTAGATTTTCCTGCAGTGCAGTGGCGAAATACCCATATAGGATTTTTTTGGAGACACTAAAAACATTAGACGATCAAATATATTTTTCCAAGGCTCCTTGATTAGAAGTTAGTGGTTTTAACATAACCATGGCACTCTAGATTGAAATTTAAAATTTAATTTATCATTAAGCGAGAATGTCAAAAATTGACATATGATATGTCAGTCTATTCAGAATGTCATTTTTTATCGAATAAAGTATAAAAATATGAGGGTGCCATTTAAAAATCAAAAGTTGTAGTCATTTCCGGCGAAACAGGAAGTGACCAAAAACAATTGAATACGTCAATCAATCCTAATTTATGTTGTATACTAACATACCAAATTTCGTTTTTTTTATCTGAAAAAATAAAAAAGTTATAGGGGTGAGCCACTATTGAGACGCAGCCGTTATTTATAGGCCGTTTCATAAAAGAAAGTGTTTGGATTAGAATATTTTTTACGGAAAGATGTACACAACCAATATTTAAATATGCGAGATAGATTTTCGAAATAACTATTTTAAAAATTGTATTATTTAAATGAAAGTTTTCACTAGACAGAGAAGAGTAAAATATAGTTCAAAACATAGTATCGATTACTAAATATAAAATAATTAAAATAAGAACATAAAATACAATAGGAAACAATGTTAAAATTCAATGAATTGATAAAACAGCCAGAGACTGTGAAAACGCTTCTCAAAGAAATAGTGACTTACCGGGAGACATAGGCGATCTTCCACCTTTTTTCTTTGGAATTTTGTCCAAGTCTTGGAATATCCGCATGCGCTTTTTCGAATTTTTTTCGTCAGCCAGTTTGGACCTACTTTCGAATTCGAAAGGTTCGGGTTCCTTGAACTCGTAAATATCTTCCGAACTGGAGGACTTCTCCAACTTTGGAGATGGCAAGGGCGACGGAATACTCGGTTTTGACTCTTCCAACTAAAAAAAAATTGTGTGTGCACTAAGTGCGCATATTTGAAGTGAAACTTCTTGCTAACAGATATTAAATTGAAGGATTTGAAGGATATATATTTTTTTATGAATGCTTTTTATAAACTTCAAAAAAATTAGAGTTAATATAAAACCGTATCCTATTCTAGCTTTATAATTTTGTTTTTTATTATAAAACGATAATAATAATCACTCGGCCGGATAGCCTGGCAGCTGTGGCCAAAATACTACTACATCTATATCTCTGACTACTACTAACTGCCGCTGGTCTATTTTTGTTTAAATGTTTTGTTTATTATTTATGTTGGGGATTTATTTTTAAACGACTGTTAATCGTTAGGCAAACTTATAGAATATGTATTTCTTTTACATAATCAAAATCGTCACTCTAAATTTTACATAACCAAATTGTCACTTGTCTCGATTTTGACACTTGTCTTGTCATTATTCAATTCATTATTCGAATTCTCAGAATATTGTTAACAAAAGTTTCATCTTAAAATAAAATTTTAATCAATCACAATTGTTTTTCTCCATCATTTAGCGGATTAAAAATATAGAAGTTACAGTTCAATTACAAACAATTCATTATTTATAGTGATTTACAGTAATTTGATTTACGAGACGTTGATTATTGATTTGAAATAAATATGACAGTGTCCTCCAAGGAAAATGCGAGTTACTAACTATAAATTCTAATTCTGAGCTGGCAAATGAGCTAGATGCTTTACCTAGATCGTTATTCAGAAGCTATAAACCTATCAAAGAAAATATGCATAAAAATTTACTTCCTAGCACACAAGGTTGGTACATATCAAGTTTATTATAGTGATTTTCTTAGCCGCGTATGGCACAGATCGTTACCCAGTGTTGCCACAAGTTTATTTTTCATCGGGGTAGATTATCACGAGATAGCGGGGTTAAATTGTTTTACAAACGGGTAGATCTACCCCGAATGCGCTACCTATGGCAACACTGCCGTTATTACTTTTCCTCTGGCTAGCTCGCGCGTCACCAAGCCCGAAAGTCACGGCCTGCAACTTTTGTTCCCAACGCGCAAAAGAAAGTTTCAAAGAAGTTTCACTTCAAAAAATCAAATATTCTTTTTATGTAATACGATAAAATTGTCGTACCTTGATGTCTTCTTTTTCTTCCTTAATGACCAAGTTAGGAGCAGAAGAGGAATCATCGGATGACAAAGCATTTTCTTTGTCTTCGATTTCCACCGTAGAAGCTTTGATGGTTTTACTAAATCCCTTTAGTTCTGAACGGATTTGATTCAGATCGAAATCTCGGCCCTTAGGGTGGCCTAGACTGTCTTCATCGCTTTCGTCGCCAAATTTTTCAGAGGATTTCTTGATTTTCTTCACTCTGCGATCTTTCTGAACCCTTTCCACCTCATCTTCCTTATCTGTATCGTCTTCCTCTGTCTTGTCTTTCCTTTTATCTCCCTTAATAGGACTGGGCTGGCAAAATAATAAACATATGTTTTTTTTTCGGTCTCGATGTCATTATACTAATTACAAGTTTTATTGTCTATTATAGTCTAACCAGCGAGTGAATATACGATTTCAATAAACATAAAAATAATATAAAAAAAATAATCATTTTTGAATTAAAACGATTAGATAACAACTATAACTCTGAATTTCTCTCATAGACAATAGCTAGCTACATAAAAAACCTTATCATCGTAACATGGCTAATTTTTCTTGTAAAGTATCCTTTTGTGTAGCCAATATGAAATAGTCAAGTCTGTCAGCGTGATCCCGGGGCTTAAAGTGGGGGCGGCCAATCGAAAGTTAAATTTTTGACACTAAGAATATTATAAGGTACACGAGTTATAATTGCGAAAATAGCCTTTATTTATTATTAAGAAATGTGGAAAATTGTTGATGAAGAGACAACGCGAAAGAGGCATAAATTTTTTTAAAAAAATTGCATACATACATGCCGATTGGTGGAATGTCACATTTATTTATTTTAAAAACCGTATGCAAAAAATAGGAAGAGCCCAGGGCAAGATGATATCCCAAACAAATTACTTAAATATGGCGACCAAAGTCTCATACAGCAGCTACCATCCCTGATTCAAAAAATCCTTTACCAACACAGGATACCCGATGAATGGCGAACCCGCACTACTATCTTGATGTTTAAAAGAGGAGATAAGAAGCTGCCCTCAAACTATAGAGGCATAAATCTTCTAAACACCACTCTAAAACTTACGACAAAAGTGATAACAACCAAAATTAACGACTTAACATGCTTAGCAGATAAACAGCAAGGTTTCAGATCGGGCAGATCATGCCCAGACGCAGTTTTTGTCATAAGACAGATAACAGAAAAATCAGCCGAATATAACAAACCAGCGTATATGTGTTTTATTGATTTAGAAAAAGCGTTCGACCGTGTGCAGCTAAGAGACGTTGTAAACCTTCTTTACAATAGGCAAATCCCACACAACCTCGTTAAAACCATACAAAACATATATGAAGCGAACCAAATTCAAGCTAAAATTAACGGGGTCCTGACCGAACCAATAAATGTAGGCCGTGGTATCCGACAAGGTGACTCCCTGAGCCCTCTTCTTTTCAACATCATTATGGACGAAATAATAGGAAATGTACGTTTACTGAAGGGATACAGTATGGGCGATCAGGAAATTACTATTCTATGCTATGCCGACGACGCCGTATTGGTAGCTGAAAATGAGAACGATCTACAGCGCTTATTACATCGATTTAATTGCACTGCCAAATCACTTAATATGATAATATCGACCCAGAAAACTAAATGCAGGACGACATCAAAAGTATCACTAAGATGCAAACTGGAAGTCGAGGGCAATGTTATCCAGCAAGAGATGAAGTTTAAGTATCTAGGCATAGAAATCTCAGGATATGGTGATGTAGAAGCGGAGGTGCGAGAACGGACAACGAAGGCAACCAGAATAGCAGGATGCCTGAATGGTACAATATGGCGAAATAAAAACATTGAGGTGGAAACTAAAGCGAGGATTTACAAGGCAACGGTACAAACAATAATGACATACACTGTAGAAACTCGACCTGATACAGCAAAAACTAAACAACTACTAGAGACAACCGAAATGAGAGTACTACGCAGAATAGCTGGAAAGACGCTTCTGGACAGGGAGAGAAATGAAAGCATAAGAAGAGCGTGCAAGGTGGAAAATGTAAATGAGTGGGTACTCAGCAGAAAGGAAGAATAGAACGACCATATCAGCAGAATGGACAACAGAAGGATAGTGAGAGTTGCACGCGACAAATCACCGCTAGGTCGCAGAAGCTTAGGACGTCCACGAAAACGATGGAGCGACAACTTGTCAGTCTAACCGGTAGAGACGACGAAACCAAACAGGCGATTCGCCTAGTATGAAGAAGGAAGAAGAAGAACTATGCAAAAGGCAGACAAAAAGATCGTGGCTAAATCAACGGTAGACAGTTATCAAAAGCGCTCGCCGCCTCATCCATTTAAGTATAAATAAATCATGTATACGATTATATTATAAATATATTTTTTTATTATTTCAATAACAGATATCATACATTTAGTATTCTGTCTTACTATTTGTATCTCACTCATCGTACTGCAGACGAGTCTTTGTCTTTTGACAGTCTTCCTCTGAGTCGATATCTGCGCCGTAAAATTTTTGTAGACTTACATCACAGATAACACATAATCCAGATGGCTCCTTACGTGTTAAAAATTGTCACCCTAATTTCACTCCAATTTGGAAAAATATTGGAGTGACATTTGAATAATCTGAAATTTTTAGATTTCTTTTCTCACTTTATTGGGAGGTTTTGCTTCTCTTGCACAGATGTCGCTTGCACTTCAGTTGCGTGGTTGCCAAACGTTATATCGAAATATATTTCATTTCATTATGAATATATAAAATTAAAGGTATACCAAATTAAAAATTATGTAATTTATAAACATGAAATAGATATGTTAAATTAATATATAAATATTTAACTTAATACGTTCATTATTATTTTATTAACTTATCGTCACACGTCATTTACCAGTTGCCTAATTACGAAAAGTTACATATGACATATGATATTAACCTCAAAAATGATCTTTCAAAACGAACAACAACAAATGAACCTGAAATGAACAAATAACATCTCTGATAACACGAAAGCTGATGAAGGTAATTATAAGCATTATTTTCAGTTTGTTTAATAAAATATAGGATACAATATAACTAAGCAAAATCAAACAGTTTTAGACAACCAATACAAGATTTAGAACTCGACATCGTGATAAACAAATTGTACATTCAGGAACTCGTTTAAATATTATAGGGATTATAGGTAAGTAATATTTTCACAAAACTAAACATTTTAGCATAAAATCACAGATAATATATAGAATATTACCTGTGATAAAATGTTAATACTGATGTATATTTATTCTAATCACATTTAAATTTAAACTCAAAATTTTCATAAAAAGAAAATGATAATTTTTCGTAAATATAAAGTAAATAGTATTACATATTTCAGGTTGATTGACAAATACTCTACAGTTGATTAGAGCCCATGATGATGCGAAGATAATTAATATCACCTAACTTCAAGAAACCAGTGTAAAGAAGTTTACATTCACAACTCATCTAACCATTATAGGTAATAATTTACAAAATTAGTCATTTTTGATGATAATATTAAGGTACTTAGGTACATTTTTATCTTCTAGATCAGTAATGTCGTCATAATTTAAATGAACTCACAGATAGCAATGGGGCACTGCACCGAAGCAGTATTACAAAATATGTGAAATAAAACTGTAATACAAATTGCTCTATAAAATTTAATAGAAATAAATTTATTTATGAAAATTAAGTTATGAAGTTTTATTTTTCCTAGGAAAAAAATAACATTTATATTTTGATCAATTTAGAACATTACAGTTAAAAAAATATGTGTTAGAATAACATATTTTTAATAAAATTGCAGCTTTTAATTTTTATACTTTTTTGCTTTTATATCAATAAGAACTAACGTAAGGAACAATTCATATTTATACTATGAAAACACATGCATATTTTTTGATGTTTTTAAAACCAGTGAATGATGTTGAAATATACTACACCTATTATTCTTATTAACTAACTTTAATTACAAACTTACACATTATTGTCATTGGAAATAAATTAATTTGGATATTAAATATTTTTTTGGTCCCAATACATAATGATTTATTGTAGTTTTTTAACTTCAAATAATGAATTTAATGGAAAAAAAAAAATGTCATAAAACGTTGACAATATAAAATCTATCCACTTTTTTCCATATCGTTGTTAGTTTTTTGTAAAATTAACGAATATTTGAAATAGTTTATTTCAACCGGCGTCAGCTTATTTAGGAAAAAAGATCGTTGACAAATAAAAAGAATACACCCCTTAAAGTTTCGCATTTGTCTTGATATACTCTGTATAAGACAACAGTAAATAACTTGTAATATAACTTCGAAATATAAATTTGAAATTAAAATAATGATTTGTTCATAAGTGATTTACGTTATTTATTAATTGAAACGTTTAAAATTTGAATATACGTTCAAAATTTTTTTACAATAAATTTGTTTATGATAAATAATTTTATAATAAAAATATGACCGAATTTCCTGGAAAGTTTGCAATCAAATTTGTACATATGTCGTTAGCTTTAATACTTAGTAGTAGAAAATCCCTATTCCTTTTTATCACAGAATAATACTTTGAACTAAAATATTTTTTGGTCCCAATAGATAAAGATTTAGATTTTTTAACTTCAAATTTTGAATTTAATGGAAATTTTAAAAGTCATAAAACGTTCTAATATACAAATCTATCCATTTTTTCCATACCGTTGCTCCAGTTTTTGATTATTAACGTGTATTAGAAATAGTATTATTTCAACCTCTTCAGCTTATTTTAAAATGTTGACATTTAACAAAGAAGGTGTACATGTGTTAAAGTTTCATTTGTCTTGATATACTAATTATAAGACAAAGTGGATAATAACTTGTAATATAACTTCGAAATATAAATTTGAAATTAAAATAATGCGTTTGTTCATAAGAAATGGTGATCGATGGCTTTTACCATATACAGTATGATCGAAAAAAACGGCGTCAGCGATGGCTATGAAATGAAGATCGCTGTCATTTGATATGTAAAATTATATACGTTTTATTAATTTTGATTTTTTTCTCAAATTTAATTTAAAAGTGATTTACGTTATAAATTAATTCAAACGTTTAAAATTTGAATATAAATTCAAAATTTTTTACAATAAATTTGTTTATGATACCGTAATTTTATAAAAAAAATATGACCGAATTTCCTGGAAAGATCGCTGTCGTTTAATTTGTAAAATTATATGATAAATCCTAGCGATTACCACTTATCAACAGAAAATCTCTATTACTTCCCTTATCACAGAATAATACCTGAACGAACCATAACTCGACAAAGATAGAAGATTTAGATATGTCGTTACTGTTTTTGATATTAAAATCCGATATTTTAAAAGCCGGGTAATTTAAATGTCCAATCTGTGATGGTAATATACTATACACCTTTGAAAGTCTTTCAACAAAACAAAGTGATTAGTGATAATTATTATTAAAATGCAGGTAATACAGTGTCAATTTTGGTTTTGTCGAGATTTGTCGGAAATCAGGTGTACATGCTGTTTAAGTTTCATATATGTTAATCAAAAGAGATCCTAATTTATGATAACAAAGTGGATAGAAAATTGTGAGTTCATTCATATAGATTTTTTGCACATTTTGTATGTAATATCACAGCGGCGTTAGATTTTATCAAATGGTGATCGATCACACTTTTATAGAAATAAAATATGATCGAAAATCGGCGTCAGCGAGGGGGCTATGAAATGAAGATAGTATGTCATTTGATATGTAAAATTATATGGGGAATAATATCATGGATCGTCAATTTCAAGGAGTTATCGGACGCCGTTTTTTTTAAATCGTACAGGGTATAATTTAACACATTAAGAGTTGTCCATCGTTATATTTATATATCATGCAAAGTTTGATGGATGCAATAGAGTAATATTCCAATGTGGATACAAATTATAAATGAATCAGTGAAAATAAACTGTTATAAATTATAAGTAGGTAATACAGTTCAGTGAATACTTCCGTACGATAAAAAAAAGGCATTTATTTTGGGCTTGGAAATGAAGATTTAATTAATAGGGAGGTATTCAGTTACAAAAACTAGAACTCTCTAAATCTTATCGATTGTCACTTCCAAATTAACATGACATGCATCTGTACATTTCATATCAATACGAACTAGAGTTCTCCTGAAATCCCGAACTCCCAAGAGAGGCGGCACCGTGTATAATTTTATCTCCGAAATCCCTTTAATAAATTGGGATCCCAAAACTAACATCCCAAATGTGTGGAATTTTGTACAGGTGGATTTTGGACATTCATCTCCTAAGAGAGTGAAATAAGGGATGAAAATTTGTACAAACATTTGTTAAAATCGGGTTTAGAAGTATGAAATTCTGTTTGTTCCTTATGTAACGTAATTTAGCAATAACAAGCAATTTTTTTTTCAGAACGTCCACACCTCATTTCACCCCGTTAGAGGGCGAATTTCCAAAAATTGTTCCTGAGTGCTAAATTACGTTACATAAGGAACGTCTGCGCAAAATTTCATACTTCCAAAACCGATTTTAATGAATTTTTGTACAAATTTTCATCCCTTAATTCTTATGGGGCGAATGCCTAAAATTCGCTTCTGAGTACTCACTTTCATCACTTGAGGAACCTCTGTGCAAATTTTCATACTTCTAGGACAGATTTTTTTCAGAAAGTTCACCCCTCATTTCACCCCCTTAGAGGGAAAATTTCGAAAAATTGCTTCTTAGTGCTAAATTACCTTATATAAGGAACGTCTGCGAACAATTTTATACTTCTAAAACCGATTTTAACAAATTTTTGTACATATTTTCATCCCTTATTTCTTAAGGGATGAATGCCCAAAATTCGCTTCTGAGTATAACTTTCATCACTTGATGAACCTCTGTGCAAATTTTCATACTTCTAGGACAGATTTTTTTTCAGAACGTTCACCCTTCATTTCACCCCCTTAGAGGGAAAATTTCCTAAAATTGCCTCTTAGTGCTAAATTAAGTTACATAAGGAACGTCTACGCAGAATTTCATACTTCTAAAACCGATTTTGACAAATTTTTATACCAATTTTCATCCCTTATTTCTTAGGGGATGAATGTCCAAAATTCGTTTCTGAGTACTCACTTTCGTCGCTTAATTAACAATTTCCAAATTTCAAACTCCTCGGACTAATTTTAAAAAAGTATACAAAATTTCACCCCCAGTTTCACCCCTTAGTAGAAGAATTTCCTAAAATCGCTTTGTATAATCGAACTGTTAAGTTACGCTACTTAAGGCACCTCTGTGCAAAATTTCGTAGTCCTAGGACATGCTTTTTTTTGTATACAAAAGTACCCCCCATATCACCCCCTTAACGAGCGAATTTCCAAAAATTGCCCCTTAGTGTTCAATTACGTCAGTCAAGGAGCACTCGTGAAAAATTTCATACTCTTAAACCAGATTTTAACAAATTTTTATGCAGCTTTTCATCCCTAATTTCACCCCCTTAGCGGTCGAATTTTCAAAAAATCCCTTCTTAGTGCTCATTTACATCACTTAAGGAACCTATGTGCCAAATTTTATTTATTACTATATAGATAACCTTTACCCTTATTTTCAGCTAATGAATATTAAGAGACAAATAATAAAAATAAAATCTAAATTATAAATTTCATGGCTATAAATAGCATATATATGCATCTAGAAATTCTGACTTTCAAACATCCACTGCGACTAGTATTTTCATACCCAATTGTCTAGTATTAAAGTCCGAATATACATTTTCCCTGGGTTTGACCGGGAATTTGCTTATAAATGTGAACAACCGGCTACGTGGCTTCACATCGCGTGGCCGTGGTGTGGCTCCAAATTCGTTCGTTTTAAAAATATTATTAGATTTGGCTATAGGCGCCCTCTGTGTCATTAATAGGGAACTGTCTCATCGAAAACATGCTGTTCCGTAAGCAATGGCCATCTGGATTATGTGTTATCTGTGCTTACATGTATTATGTTTCAATAGAAAACGCTTATACAGGGCGAGTCTTAAATAAGTGCAAATACTTTTAGGCGTGATATATTTCGACCCAGGAACACGTCTATGAGTTTTTTTAGCAAAAAAAGATGTTGAAAATCATGTATTTTTCTAAATGTTCATGTATATTTTAGAAAACTTTTTAGAACTGCCTGGTCACCGCAAATTTACCCACGGTATAATTTCTTAACCTACCATGCTTACGGCTTTACTTAAATTTTCAAACTTGAATAAATCGGATTTTTGGACTTTTGGAAAACGGCAAAAAGTAAATATGTTTCTTTTATCGAGATTTACCAGCCCTGAAAATATTTGCACTTATGCAAGACACCCTGTAGAGTAATATCGCGCTTTTGATAACTGTCTACCGCTATATTAAGCCACGATTTCTTTGTCTGTACTTTTACATACGGCTTTTTAAATAAATAAATATGACATTCCAACAATTGGCATGCATGTATGCCATGAATTTTTGTCAAAATTTCATGCCTCTTTCGCGTTGTCTGTCGGCATTTTAACCACGAGAAAAACGTCTGCCAACAATTTTTCACGTTTCTTAATAATAAATAAAAGCTATTTAGTAATTATAACTCGTGTACCTTATCATATTTTTAGTGTCAACATTTCACCCTTTCGATTGGCCGCCCCCACTTTATGCAGGGTGAAATTTTATGGCCTGTTTTACGGCCTATGCTAATTTATTTACATTACAATCGATTTCAGCACAGGCACCGGCACCCATTTTGCCAATGTGTGCAAGCGCTCTAAACGGAAACATTACGTGCAAGAACCAAGTTTGAGAACCACTGATTTTTCTTACCTGTATTAAAGATTTTGGAGCTCGTTTCTTATATACTCTGACCTCAGGTTCTTCACTCTTCAAACTTCCGCTTCTGGTCCTAGGAAGCTCATTTTCGCTCTCTGAAGAATCACTATTGGAGTCGGAGTGTATAGAAGCATCAGTCTGAGCTGATATTCTTCGCCTATTTGATGATTCTACGAAATTAACGCAAGGAGTTATTAAACTTTAGACGTAGTTTTTTAAAGTGAATTTCGTCAAATAGGTATACGACGATTCACAAAAGATAATAAATGCGTCAGAATATGTTTATTCGAAAGACATACGGGACCGATATTTAGATGTATTAGTCCATGGCCACACAGAAAGCGATTTTTGCGTGAAGCGACCTTTGCGACTAAAACAAAATAACAGGATTATAGAGAAAAGCGTGTAGCGTGTATTGTCTCGCAAAAGGGGCAAATGAAAACAAATCAGTTTGTTCTCTGTAGCGTCTTTAGCGATTTCTAAGATGAGACCCCGTCATAGTCGAACGTAATATTTAATAATACAATAAAAATAAATTAAATTGTATACTTTTTTTTTCATTTTAGTATTATCTAAAAATATTTTTATAGAGAACATCTACTGTTTGGAATGATTCTATTAAATTGAAAAATTTGAAGGAAATGTTTGAAAATGTGTAGTTTGAAATGTTGAAAAAGTAATAAACTAAAAAATATTTTTTTACGCGTAAAAAATAGTTTTTTATGCGTAAAAAATAGTTTTTTACACGTAAAAATAGTCTTTTTGCGTAAAAAATATTTTTTTTACCAATAACAAATAGTTTTATATGCGTAAAAATAGTTTTTACGGGTAACAAATGTTTTTTTACACGTAATAATTTGATTAACTTCTACAAAATTTGTATTAAAATGTCAATATTTTTGATAAACACGTGGACTGCTCACAAATACACGTCGCGTCACTACGTATTTCTAAGCTATTACTACGTTTCGTTACAACTACCTCGTATGTCAGGGCCGTCTCGCTAGTTTGTATGTCACGGCCATTTTTACTCCCAGTGCGCGTAAAAAGTTCCACTTTTCCAGTTTGATAAATCATGTCCTAAAATTGCGTTAGCAACTAGTAATATTTACTAGTCTATTATATAATTATTTATTATATTATATTATTATCATTATAACACACAAGTAACCACAAAACTACAACATAAAAAATCTATACACAAATAACCTAAAATTCGTAAAATAAATGGCAAATAATATTATTATTTTTAGGGTATGTCACTGACACTAGTAGTAGATTGCGTTTGTGTCGAATATCCGGCCCGTTCAACGATCGATCCAAGCATATCTTTTATCTTCTTCTCTTCAACGCTAACCGCGCCGATCTCGCCTATCTCTTTCTCACAGGATTGATTGTTGAACGGGACGGGAATCCACGAGCTTACAATGTTACTAATTGACATCTTGAAAGCATCTGCAGACCTGCCGCTTCTTTTGCGTGTTTTTAATGGACACAAATCAGAATAAAAGCTTCAAACGGTAAAATCGTAAAAGCGCTTCACACGCAAAAACGCAAAAATCGCTTCTGTGTGGCCGTGGGCTTAGAGTCATACTACTTTCTAATTTTCTAGTCCATTGAAATATTCAGTATGATGCAATCGTCACCTTTCCTGAATTAGACTATACAGGGTGAGTCTTGGATAAGTGCAAATATTTTCAGGGCTGGTAGATCTCGATAAAAGAAACATATTTTCTCTTTACCGTTTTTCAAATAAGTCCAAAATAACCGAGTTATTTTACTTTAAAAATTTCCAAAAAACGATTTTTGCTTAAATTTTGAGTACCACTGGATCTTTTCTGGGTTTTCTTTTTGTAAATTTAATCTACTATACATGTTGCTATATCAAGAAAATATGTTTTTAACGAAAAACTACAAAAATGTCCTAAAATTTTTTCAAAAAATTCCAAATTTTCAAAAAAAAATCGCAAAAAACTCATATTCGTGTTTTGAGGTCAAAATATACTACCCCCAAAAATATTTGCGTTTATTTAAGACTCGCCCTGTATATTATATAATATTTTCGCAATAAACTGTATTTAATAAACATTTTGTATGTTTTTTTATAAAACATGCGAATTAACAGTATTTTCAATGTCATAATTTGGTTGCTGTATATAAAAAAAATGCTCATATTCCGCCTCTAATATAATAAAATATTTACATATCTGACTGTGAGCGTTAAATAATTGAATCTATTTGATTTTACCTTGTCGCGCAGCTAATCTACTGGACCTAGTAGCCGGTGTTGCAGGACTCTTAGTCCTGCTACTGTTGGAAGTGACGCTAGATGGTGTGGTAGACCTAGGGGGTTTGTCGTCAGGTGGCGCTCGACTCGATACCGACATAACCCTACTTCTCCTACCCACGGTTGGCCTCGTACCGGAAGTAGATGCGCCGGAAGGAGCAGGTTTAACGTTTACAGCGGCCGGTATTTTCGTACGTTTTAGTCTAACACCGGAATTTAGGTTTTCGGCAATTCGCGCACCTGGGATCCACTCATCGTATCTAAAATTGACGGAATTGATATTTTTGTTACTGTCGTTAATATAACCTACATTTGAACATGTTTAAAAATTTTTGTTCTTTACATAAACAACGCCTCGTAAAATCCTACTTAATTATATATTTTCTCTTCGTTATAATTTATTTGACACATTGAATCTATTTGTATTAAATTTTGTGTAAGTACAATTATAAGAAAGATTGTGAGTATTTTTAGTTAATTATGAATAAAATCCAATCGCATAAAGATAATAATTTATAAACATTTCATCTTTTAATTTGAAAACAAAATTTAATAGACCAGTTCTATCTTTTATTTATTTGTGAATACTTTATGTAATATTTTTGGTCTTAATATTTTAAAATCTTCACACTTATCTATAATAATAAAAAACTCACCTTTCTAGTAACCACATATAATCATAAAGAGAACAGTTTTGATTTGATATCTACTGAAAAGCATTTTTCTTTTACTAAAATAAATACATTGAAATAGAAGTGCTTTTTTCATTGAATTTTTAGATTTGATGAGATAGAAATGCTTATTTTGGATTAACTGAAATAAAATGTAAATATTTTTTTTGTTATCTTAAATAAATAAAATACCATAAACATTAGTTTTTTTAATAAATAACTGAGAATACAGATTGACAAATGCAAAGTTTAGTAAATACCATAAAAATGCCTTTATAGTACCTATACCGGGTGCGCCTCGAAAGTGGCTCACCCCTATTACTTTTTTTATTTTTTCAGATAAAAAAACAAGATTTGGTATGTAAGTATATGATATAAGTTAGGATTGATTGACATATTCAATTGTTTTCGGTCACTTCCTGTTTCACCGGAAATGACTACAACTTTTGATTTTTAAATGGCACCCTCGGTATTTTTTCACTTTATTTGAAAGAAAATATCACTCTAAATAGAATGACATATCAACTTTTAACTTATAATATCTGAATAGAATGATATATCAACTTTTGTTGATATATCATTCTATTCTAGTTTTGTTGAAAAATTTCTATTCTACGTTTGTTGAAAAAAACATCGTATTTTAAATTTCAATCTAGAGTGCCATGGCTGTCCTAAAACACTAATTTTTAATCAAACGAGCCTTGGAAAAATAGATATGGTGGTCTAATGTTTTTAGTGTCTTGTCCTGGATGATTAAAAGATGCCCAAATCGCATTTTTAATCATATATATATTTTTTTTAAATTGAATGAGGGTGGCTAATTAGCATATTTGGAAAAAGTATTTTTTTTACAAATAATTTGGTACCACACACTTGGTATTTCGAGTCAAATTGTCGTTATAAACTGCATGTTACAATTTCAAATAAACCATATCAGAAAATGTCAAAAGTTGACATATGATATGTCATTCTATTTAAAGTGCCATTTTCTATCGAATAAAGTAAAAAAATACCGAGGGTGCCATTTAAAAATCAAAAGTTGTAGTCATTTCCGGCGACACAGGAAGTGACAGAAAGCAATTGAATACGTCAATCAATGGCTAATTTATGTCATATTAACATACCAAATCTCGTTTTTTATCTGAAAAAATAAATAAGTTATAGAGGTGAGCCACTTTTGAGACGCACCCGGTATAGTAGCAAATTACTTATATTTTTTTACTGGTTATTGATCAACATATTTTTAATAGAGCAGATGTTAAAAAATAATATGATCATATAAATAGATATAATAAAATGAAATTGGAAACTAAAAACTAAAAATAACTACAATTAATATATCCTTAAAAAACTCAAGGGACTATCAGATTCTATTGTTTGTTAAAAAAGATTAATATAATTTTTAATATCAAAATTTTATCAATATTATGAGTAATTATGTAGTCCAGACAAAATATAAAACAATATAAATATTTTATATTTTGATACTTTTCATTCCAGTTATAAAGCTGTCAGAAAAATGAATGAGATAAAGTTTGTAGAGTGTGAAATTCTCTATAAAAAAGGTCTCAAAAACAACGAAAAAAAAACAACGCACAAAAGGCATCGATGGAGACTTTCAACATAGCATTTGTAATGATGAATTTAAGACCTATACAAAAATTCAGCTTGTTGGGAATTAATGCAAACTCAGACAAAATAAATGAATAATTTTTCATTTATTTTGTCTGGACTAATCAGTATCTCCAAAAATCTCAAAATCTTAATAATAAAAAGATAAAACATGAATATTTTCAAAACGTTTTACCTCGTATTCCAGCCAGTGTAATGCACCAAATAAATTGGACCTGATTGGTCTTTATCAATATCCACTACTTTGGCTTCATAAGTGACCTTGGATTCGTTGGTCGGTCCATAATAGATGATAAGTTTGTCACCAATGTTAGCAGAGATACATTGGCCATCTGAACTACTGCTACTGCTGCTGCTACTCGTATTACCGCCCTCCGAAGGTAGTTTTTCTCCATCACCAAGTGTTTTTTTCCTTTGTTTCAGTTTCTTATCCCTTTCCTAATGAAAAAAAAATAAAATAGTTATTGTTAATTAATGCCAGTACAGACATATCTTTTACCTCTAATTCTTCTTTATTTACAACCTTCTTAACCACTTTTATCGGTGTTTTAACCGGAAGCGGGACAGTCTCTTTATTTTGCCTGGTACCAATAGGTTCTTTAACAACTTCTTTTCCCTTAGCAGTACTGATAGTTTTTGAGCGAGTGTTCTGAACCTTTAAAAACATTAGGAATATATCACAATAGAATATTTTTGCAATGCAGAAGGGACAGTGCCATATTCTTTAATGTATGCGTCTCAAATTGCTTGACCTTGAAGTCAGATATTTAATAATTATGAAAAATGTTTAAAGTTTTGATTGAAAAAAAATTATAGACAAGAAATACATAGGTATTACAAGGAAAAAACATATAGCTGTTATTTTATTAGGGGAGATTTTTCTTGGCTTAAGGTCGTTATTTTTTGTGTAGGATTTAAATTATGTTAATAATGTTTATGAATTTATCTCTATAGGCTTGGTGCATTTCAGTTGATTTCAACAAATTCCGACCGCAGCGCTTCAAAGGAAAAAATCTGAAATTATCAATATATAGTTCACGCCGCCGCCGTCATGTTGATCGCATTAAAATAGTATTGAAATCGTGGTTTTGTCATAATATTTAAAAATGTTGACAACCGGCGTTAATAAAATTGAGTCGTAAAAGTGCAAAACCCTTATTATCCCACAAACGTTGTTTGGAGATAATAAGCCAAAACTGTTTTAGCAAATGTTTGAAGCGTTAATTTACCAAAAAACAAACGTGTCCATTGAGTGGAATCATTGTTTGGTATCTCGTTTTTCTAGAAATAAAAATTAATTTTATTATAATTATTTAATTTTTAAACAAAAAAAAACACACAAAAATAATTCGGATAAGAAATAAATTATATACATGTAAATTTTTTATGGGAATGTCAGCGATCGTCATTTCCTAGCTAACTGGACGCCATTTTTTTTTCGATCACACGGTATTTGCATCCTAACTTGATTTATTAAATATACTTTTTTATTAAAATTAAGGAAGCATTTGAAAAGACGTCAATGGTAATGTTATATTATACTTGTGTAAAAAGCTTATGAAAAAATGCGGAGAGAGAGAGAGAGAGAGAGAGAATTTGTAAAAATAATGACAATAAAAAGCGGATAAGACGGATTTTAAAAATAGGCGACTTTTACTGCAGTTTAGGACTATGTTTATGTAGATTTCAGGGTCCCATTATTAATATACTGTTATTAAGCCATTTTTAAAAAAAATGGATAAGGCGGGTTTTGCAACTTGAAGCCTCAATTATAGCCTAAAAATTTGATCCATGAAAAGATCACACATGTCGTTTCTGTATGGTTAGGTAATTCTGCGATATTTTAGTCAATTAAACAACCGAATGTACAAACCTTTTCAATTTTTTTTTCTGACTCTTCAAATTTTTCTACTAAAAGTTTAACTTTCTCTCCTTGTGGCGGTTTAACAACTTTTTCTTTAATTTGTTTTGATTCATAACGTTTTGGCCTAATACTTGATGTACTTGCAACTTCAGATACGTCACTACTTGCATCACTTATTTCTCCTAACTTTGATTTACGCCCACTATCTTCTTTTTCTTTAGGTTCAGCTTTTTTCTTTGCTTTTGGTTCCACTTTTTCCTGCACAGGCGTCTCTTTCTTAAGAATTTTATCAACACTTTCATCATCGCGTTCTGGTCTTGGACTGCTCACTGATAATATAAAAAATAAAATAAAACATAAAAAAAACATTTTTTTTTAAAACTTACTAGGAGTCCTATCTTTGTCCCTTATCAAACTTCTGCCCTTACTTTTCTTAGGCCTCGTTGGATTAAACATAGTCACTCCTAATGATCTGTGGAAAGCCTCATAACTCACCAAGCACTTTCTATAAACAGACTTAACCTGATTGGAAATATTTTGATTTACAGGTAGCCTTAGCTTGCCAGTAATGGATTTCCACTTATTTTGATTGGTAACTCTGTTGTAACCACCTAGTTTATGAACCACTCGAAATAATCTATGTAAGTCTATGTCTTTACTTGAAATTACTGGAGTTTTATTCAGGGGAGTACCAGATTCATCCATAAATTTATATAATTGGGCTACAAAACGATCCTTTTCTTCACTCTGTTCGTCTTCTGAACTCTAAAAAAAGTGTTTTATATGTATATTTTAAATTTAAAATGTTTTTAAAAGTTATGGCTTACTTCACTGGCATTGTCATAACTGTCACTATCAGCAGACAGATTGAAGAGAGAACTTTTTTCCCAATGTAATGGTAACTCATTATGATCTAAAAATTTTATAGCTTTTTGAATTGCTTCTTGCAAACCAGCACTCTCAGCTCGTTCTGCTTGTTCTCTACTAAACTCATTTACTTCTTTTTTTGGTACTGTATAACTGCAAAGCAAAGTATTTATACAAATTCAGAAAATAAAGTAAATATTGTCAATTCACATACTATCTATCATCTCTGAATGATCTGATTAAAAATTCATCCTTAACATTAATCTTAACAGTTGGTTGGGCAGATGGTATCACTATGAGACCAGGAAACCATTTCTCCCTTCCTCTCTTATTTTCACCAGTTTCAACACTCACAACCCTTCCAATATCTTGTGTGTAACCTTCTAAATCAGGTTCATTCTCTTCCTCAATCTCCTCATCACTACTTCCATCCCTAATTATTTTATTTATACATTAACTAATATTTCAAACTGTGGCAGGACATCACATTATTAAAGCACTAATAAATGAAGAAAAAAATTATTTAAAGGTAAGAATTACTTTAATTGCCTGTTTCTTCTGCCTCTTCTGCCACCCACCACAGGATTACCAAAATGTTCAGGATGTGTTAGTGGCAATTGATCTAATGTTTCACTTTCATTAAAATGTCTTCCACTTTTCAAACAAAGGGCCGTTCTTCTAAGAGTTGTGATATCCCCATCATCAAAAACTAATGAGAAACTATTTATTATGACAAAATCTTAAAATCATACTCTGGTTAACCTACCAACTGTATATTGACTGCAATCCTGTATTTTAGTAATAGTTGCATCTACTAAATCCTTTCGATCAGGATGTTTGACTTGAACATGTGCACCTACTCTAAGAGTTCCTTTTATATCATTGTCAGTTACTGTTGCATTTCCTAAGCCCATTTTAAATGTTACCTATAAAAAAATGTGATCGTATTCTGAATACCTAGTTAACATAGTTGACTAACCTTGCATTTCACAATACGATCTACTTTGCTAACTTTTGCTTCACAAAAAGCTCCTTTATACTTTGCACTTACAGCAGTACCTACGGATAAGTACGGAGGATCGTCCACTTGCTAAAAATTACGACGTTTTAACTGAGAAGTAGAACAATGATTTTTTACTTACCATTTTCGCGCTTTCTGAAAGGGCTTGATTTCAAATCATAGATCTTGTTGGTGTAATTGATAACAGAGTCACTAACAAGAAAATGGGTATACCAGAATATGTAACGATATAAAGTTAAGAGAAGATATAAAGGACCACTTCTTAAATAAGATAGTTTTTTTTATTCACTTTAAAACCTGCACAATATCTTCAAAAAAAAGCACAACTTATGTGTGACTATCATCACTGCTCATAATAATTACATTTCAAAGAATTTTAAGAAGATAAATATGGTAAAATATTACAAAAACTAAAAAAAATTAGATTGATGTTTATACAAATTACACTCGAGAACAGCCATCACTCTACTTCTACAGGTTTGTCAAATTTCTCTTTTAGAAAGTTTCGCAACAACGCTTTGCTTTATCCATAGATAAAAAAGTGGATTAAGAATATTTCAGTTTAACGGCCTGAGCTGCCAGGGCTATTTGGCAAAAAAAGTGGATTTGATGAAATTTGTTCTTCTTTTTTGTTTATAACTTCTGATAAATACTGTTGCTACAAATTATGTTTAAAAAATTATATATGTTGACGTTCCTGTCATATATAAAATTGTTTGATGTCTGATAACCATAACATAACCCCTAAAAAAATTGCATGTTTTATTGTTCACAGTTATTGATTTATTTTTTGTGATTTAGATTTGTGTTTTCTGATTTTGATATTGGATGTACAATGGGTCGAAAATTAAAATACAAAGACGTGGTAAAAAAAGGTCCTTCTATATCCAATAAGAAAGGTAAAAAGAGAAACCAAGGTAACAATTTTAATAAAAAGAAAACATACAGTCTTTATAAAATTAAGGGAAACTTTAAGAGAAAATCAAATCATAATGAGGAAGAGGGAGAATTTAAAAAGTTTAAAAACGATCAGCCACCATCACATAGTCCACAACAAGTTATAGAGGAATCTTCAGATGATAGTGATGTAGCCGAATTTGAAGATCCAATAAAACAATTAAGAGAAACTTTTACAGGAAAAATTGTTGATTCTGTTATTAGTGAGAGTGATAGTAATAGTGAGATAGAGAATAATGAAAATGAAGATTTAGCAGAACCTGAAGTTTCAGAATCTGAAGATGATAATAGTGTATCAGGGGATGAGAGTGATAATGAAAATATATCTTTTAAAGAGGAGTTGAAGAACAGTGAATTTACTGAAGAATTAGTTAATCAAAATGAAGAAGATATTATTTTCGATGATTTAAAGGATCCTTTTGTTAATCATACAAATTATGAATTGCACACTACTCTCCTAGAATCCTTACAATCACCATCAAATCTAACTGAATCAATATCCAAATATTGGACACACCTTGGTAATGTTATTTTTCAAATTCCCAAATGCAATAATGAAGGTTTTTTGAAAACAAAATTAGATAATACAACTTATGCCAAACTGGGACAAGTCCCTAAGAAAATAGATAAAAATAGTAAACCAGGTGATATATTTATTAAATCTCAAATTTCAAAAAATATAATAAATGCCAATAGAAGTTTGATTAAAGGAGAAACAATTTTTACTTCCCTGCAGCAAGAGTTATTCTCAATTATCAATAATTATCAAGATTTGTATTATCCATACAGGACATTTGATAATGCTAATGAAATTAGGTTTGTCTATAGCTTACATGCAGTAAACCATGTTTTAAAAACGAGAATTAAAGTTGTACATCATAATGCAAAATTATCTAAGAAGGATGATGTTCCTGATGAATTTAGAGATCAAGGTTTAGTGCGACCAAAAGTAAATGTCTTTTATTTTATTTTCAAACAATTTCATCTTCTGATTTCATTGTAGGTTTTGATTGTAGTTCCATTTAAAAGCTCTGCTCTTAATATTGTGAATACAATAATTGATTTGATGTTTGCAGAAGATAAGGGAAATGTTATAAAGAAAAACAGATTTATAGAGGACTATTCTGGCAATGAATTGAGTTTTCCCAAAAAGAATCCAAAACCTGAAGATTATGAAAAGACATTTTGTGGAAATACAGGGGATGATTTTAAGATAGGCATTTCTGTTACTAAGAAAAGTCTAAAGGTTTGTTTATTTTTTAATTAATTCCTCAGTATCTTATTTTATATTTTTTATAGTTATATGCCGATTTTTATTCATCAGACATTTTAATAGCTTCTCCATTGGGTTTAAGAACAGTTATAGGAGCTGAAGGAGAACCTGAAAGAGATTTTGATTTCCTTACTTCAATTGAACTCTTAATTCTTGATCAAACTGATATATTTTTTATGCAGAATTGGGATCACATTATGCATCTTTTTAATCACATGCATCTCAAACCTAAGAACTTACATGGAACGGACGTTTCTAGAGTGAGACAGTGGTGTTTGAATTTATGGGCTAAATATTACAGACAAACACTAATTTTTTCTTCAGTCGTATTGCCAGAAATCAACTCAATATTTAATAAAAAGTGTTTTAACTATGCTGGAAAAGCAAGAGTATCGAATCCAGTTCAAGCAGGCTCTATAAATCAAGTTTTTATACAGCTACCTCATTTATTTCAAAGGTTTGAAGCAAACAGTCCAACAGATGCAATAGAGGCTAGGTTTAATTTCTTTATTAACAGAATTTTGCCTCAGCAGAGAGACAGTTTGATGAAACAAACTTTAATTTATATACCTAGTTATTATGATTTTGTAAGATTAAGGAATTATTTTAAAAAAGAGGACATCAGCTTTGTACAAATTTGTGAATATTCCAAGGTAAAACTGAACTATAATATTTTTTGTTAACTATTTTTTCAAAAATAAGTATTTTTAGGAAGGAAAAGTTGCGAGAGCTAGAGACATGTTTTACCATGGAGATGCCCATTTTCTTTTGTACACAGAAAGACATCATTTTTATAATAGAATAAGAGTAAAAGGAATAAGACATTTAATCTTTTATCAACCTCCAAATTTTCCTCATTTTTATTATGAAATGAGCAATTTGATGCAAGTAAGACATTTTTTTTGTTATTTGTTGACTTAAAATTCATTTTAATTTTTTTTTTCATTAGGAAATCAACATGAATAAAAAAGTAGGAACTATGACTAACATGACTGTATCTGTGATATATACAAAATATGATGCTTTACAATTAGCTTCAATAGTGGGATCTGAGAGTGCTGCAAAAATGCTACAATCAGACAGAAAGGTTCATATGGTGGTAACTGGTTCAGATTAATATTTTTTGTAATTTATATTTATTTTAATAAAAGACACAATATTGGTATTTTAAATATTTATTAAAAAAGTCCTTATAATGATAATATCAAATGTTTATAAATATATTACTTATAATATTATAGACAAGAATAAATTATGTTTACACAAGGTGTCTAATAAATGCAAGTACTTTAACTGGTGGTATATTGACACCAGAAACATGCCCATGTGTTTTTATTTAAATTGTTGAGAATGTTATTATCTTGCAAAAAATTGCTGCTGTAGATTTATTACCTGAAATCTTTTGACAGCGCATATTGTAATACTGCCATCTCCTTTTTACCAATATTCTGGGTATTTGTATGTTTATAAATTCACAGTAATCTTTTTTTTAAATTAATTTTAATTGTGCGTTACTAATAATTGTAGAAAAACGCACACTACCTATTTTTAAGCATACAAATATAATATTATGGTAAGCGTTGTTTTTAAATGTAAAAAAATGACTTAAAAAAAATATTCTTTTGTCCAGATTCCAGATCTACCACCCCTTAAAATACTTGCCCTTATTTAAGAGACACCGTGTATATAACTTTGTACAAGTTAACAAAAATAGCTTAGCACTACATGGGATATCTTAATTAAAAACTATATTTTCTTTTTAAACGAAATTAAGTCTAAACTTTTTTCATTTGGTAAGCTTTATAGTTTTTTAACTGACTTTATTATAAAAAATCATATGTTATATTACTTTTAGTTACTCATAGGGACAACACTATATTTAAAATAAATAATCTAGTATCTTTTATCTAAAATCGTATTTATCACAAGAACGTTAACAAAATTTTACTTATCTTTGTACAATATAAATCTATGTTGATATTTTAACTGTTTGGTGTTTAATTATAGATAATTTCTATTATTGGTAATGTGATAATTTCTATTATTGGTACTTATATAAAGTGTGCCCATGCGTCAGGAAAGATTTCGACAAACGACCTACCTGTGACAGAAAACTGTCACTTTATTCTTTCACTAGACATACTTTATTTAATATTTATCCTAGTATAATTATTAGCAAGGCATCTAAATTTTTTCTGCATAATTATTATATAAGAAATATTCTTAAAATTAAATAGGCCTATCAGAGCGCCAAAAACTTATCAACTAATACTGTCTTAAGGAAGCATTGTTATCAAATTCAACAGAGTTATAGGAATGGGCAGTATTAAGATAAAGCGCAATATATTACTATTATTTGCTATTTTTTTTAAATAAATTGTATTTATCTATGCCTAGAGAACTTCGTTGTATGGATAATCATTTAAGTTTAGTAGTTTTTCGAAATTGTCTGATTTTTGGTTGTCCTGAAAGTTGGCAAAATCCTCGTCAAACCACGTCGTGGTTTCTGGTGTTGTTGAAGGTTGACTTATGGTTGGTTGGAGAGATGGGGGTGGGTTCTGGTTCTGCAGAAGACGTATTTGACGTTGAAGCTCTAAAAGAATAAAAAATGGTTAGATTTTTCAAAAATTTTATATATTACCTAGGCATATGTTTTAAAGTCTGAATATTTCAATAATAAATGTTCCAATTAATTTTATGTCCTGTGTTTGAAGAATGTCGCCAAATATTATATTTGCAAAATTTTCATCATCATCTCGTGGGGAAATTCCTTCGGTAAAAATGATTTATTTTTCATATCAACTTAGGTCCGATTCTGCTTTGTTTCGTAGCTACACTAGGTTAAAGTCTGAATTTTTTTTTATTTACTATAATTTTCTTCAAAGTGCTTTTAGCGATTCGAATAAAATTTTGAAGGTAAAAGTTACTATAAGTGCGACATATTTTAATGCTAAAAAAGTGTCGACAGATTCACCAGGGACGTGCATAAGGGTTATCACTAGAATATTTTTGTAAAAAAACCTGTGCGCCGCTGACTTTTTTTCTCTTGTTATCAAAATTATGTAGACCGTTTAATACCGATTAAAAGTTGTCTCTTGATATTTTGTCTATTTCTGCCTGCTTGATGAGATAAACGATAAATTTTTATTAATCCACAATTTATAAAAAATTAATAAATTATTTATATTTATTTATTATTAAATTTTATATAAGGTTATAATACTGATGTACAGTCAAATAATTTAAATATATTTGTGTACAGTGCTACCTACAGCATATTTCGAAAAAAATGCTAACTAATGAGTACTTATAACACTTTGGCCAGTTAATGATAAACAATTTAAAGGTTGCTGTTTGATCACTTTTAGAGATCACTTTTTATCGGAATTAAATGGTCTACACAATTTTGCAAGCAAGATAAATAAAAATTCACTGGCACACTGTTTTTTTTTAGAAAAATATTCTATATGCAGACGTCCCTGGTGAATATGTGGACGCTTCCTTAGCATTAAAATATGTCGCACTTACAGTAACTTTTACCGTCAAAATTTCATTCCAATCGCTAAAAGTACTTATTTAAGAAGAAAATTATAATAAATCGAAAAAAATTAAGACTCTAAACCCCCTGTGGCTACGAAACAACAGCAGAATTGGACCTATATGAGGAATCTTCCCACGAGAGATGGCACATGTGTTTTGAAACACCCTCTATGTCTGAATTTATTTCTGTTTTTTAAATCCTAGACCTAGATTTGTTAATATAAATATTACACTCAAATTTTGAGTGTTCTCTTAAAATTACGGTAGAGAGTACTGCATTTCTGAAGATATTTTAAACAAATAGGTTTGATATTATTATACCTTCGAGAATATTATCGCACTTGGTAGTATTTTGCAACTGACGACTGGCTAGTTTAGCAGCAACTTTCTCATCTCCATTCCACAGGAAAATATAGTATAAGGACAACATAATCGCAGCCAATGACACAAAAAACACATAGGCCACCACCGTCAACACTCTTACAGCTTTTTTCTTATGCTTCGGCTCATATAGCCGGTCTTTCGCTTCTTCGCCAGCAAATTTAACCGATCCAGTCTCTATCACAACCGATGTAGTTTTCCACTGTTGAGAATCACATTTGGTGAGCTTGATGCCGTTGGATTTATACGACATTATCCTTATTTATTATTATTCGTTGTTAGAAATATTGTAACCTAGGTTTGGAGTCTTTTAAGGGTTTAAAAATGAAAAACAAAGTTCTGAAGCGAAGTTGTGAGCGTTGGTGTAGTTCTTAAGGGTTCGATCGATCATTTTAGAAAAGAAAAAGAAATGTGTGTTAGTTGGTTAATCGAGGGGAGGGAAATTGGGGCGAGATTGTTGTGATTTAATCGCGGAAGCGGTTCACTGGCCGAGTAAAATCTATCGATCGGGTGTGCGCCATTTTCCCTGAGGAATACGGAATTTGATTCTGCCGGCTTCTTCGATTAGAGCGTCAGAGGAGTATAGTGCAGACGCATAACATCAGATGGCGTTGAACTGTTTATTTTTTTTAATATAAATATTTTTCTTTAGAAAAAAGAAAGCGTACGATAGCGTCCCTATCACCAAACTGTGGGAATCTCTTAAACTAACCAGATTAAATCACACACTTATAACAGCAATACAAAAGATATATAAAAATTCTTGTTCCTCGATAAAAACTGGAAATAAAGTATCAAAACCATTTAAAATATCAAAAGGATTAAGACAAGGGTGTTGCCTGTCACCAACTTTATTTAAAATATACGTCAACCAAGTTTTAAAGCATTGGAAAAGCAAGTGTAGAGGCATGGGCATACCAATAAGTGAAGTATCCTTGCTTATACACTTTGCAATTCGCCGACGACCAAGTTATTTGTGCAGGAGACAAAGATGACTTGGAATATATGACACGAAAACTTAAAGAGGAATACCAAGTTTGGGGACTGGAGATGAATATCGCAAAAACTAAATATCTTTGCATTGGATCGGATCAAACAGCAATAAAACTAGATAATGAGTACATACAAACATGTAACGAATACAAATACCTAGGTGTTACTTTTTATAAATCCGGGAAATACGACAATGAAATAAGCGCGAGAATAGTCAAGGCCAGAAATGCAATAAAATGTCTGAATAATATACTCTGGAGTAACGAAATAGGTAAAGACAGAAAACTAAGGATTTATGATACGATAATCAAGAGCAATCTGTTATTTGGGGCGGAAACATGGAGGTTGACAGAGAATAACAAAAGAAATAAATTACTGGCAGCAGAAATGGACGCGATAAGGAGATCAGCACGAACATAGGCTGGATAGAGTACGAAATGAAAGAATCAGGGACAAAATGGGTAGACAAAAAATAGTAGAGGACATAGAGAGTGCCCAACTGAAGTAGTATGGACACGTGAGAAGGATGGACAACACGCGACTGCCTCAGAAGGTACTAAACTGGCTTCCACAAAAGAGAAGGAAACAGGAAGACCAAGGACAAACTGGATGGAGGGTGTCAAGAAGGCGATGAGCTCAAGGGATCTGCGTGACGGAGACTGGAATGAACGGAATCAATGGCGACTAGGCATCGCACAACGTCGAAGGACGTTTTATAAGCGATTCTTATATATATTTTTTTCTTTAAATTTTTATAGTCGAAATATGATCAAATTTCTCACGATTTTATAATAATAATAGCTCCCGTATATAGCGTTTAACGCCTTGGGAGCAGCAAGGTACAGCTTTGCCATGCTAGAGCCGTTCGGTATACAAGGAAGGTAATGTGGCTAGCACTACGCATCAACCATAGTTATGCTTCAACCGCCTATTATTACCTCAGGATGGTGAATCCCAAGTATTAATTTAAGGCAGAGGCGAACTAGGTACCCAAAATATTTTTATTTTATTAAAAATAGTCGGCTGATGAAATGCCGGGTGTAGGATTTTTTTCTAACGATTTTAACAAGCTTTTTTCTAGAAGATTATAACAAGCTGTTTTATATTTCGTTCTCATTGTGCCGTCTTGCATAAGGGTCAATGGAGCGAATCCATCAGCATTCGGAATGGGGTGAGAGAGGGTTGCCGTCCTGTCCCCCTTTCTTTTTAATATCCTCTTGGATGATAGTCTATCGCGAATCATCGTGAAATATGGTGGACTTCCTTTAGCATGTTAAAAGATCTCAGTTATGCAGATGACATCTGTCTCCTTTCTCATAGTTACGCGGATATGGTATCAAAACTACTTGCCTTAAAAAAACTAAATCGATGAGAGTTTGTACCAACAATGTCGCTCCCTTTATCATGGGAACAACACCTATAGAGGAGGTAAATAATTTTACTTACTTGGGTAGTATAATATCAAACAACGGAGGCACAGAGCAAGATATCATAAATAGAATAAACAAGGCAGAATAACATTTGGAATCCTCAACAATATTTGGGGATCTAGACAGTACTCTCACATGTACTCTCAATTTACAAATTTAAAATTTCCAATTCAAATGTCAAGTCAGTATTGCTGTATGGTGCAGAGACCTGGAAAATTACATCGCCAGTAATTAACAAACTCCAAGTATGCATAAACTGCATTCTGCGAAAAATTGTAGGAATATTCTGGCCAAATACTATCAGAAGTGAGGATTTATGGAACTTAACCAAACAGAGGCAAGTGTACAATGAGATTAAAGATCAAACTGAGAAAATGGAGGTGGATTCGTCATGTATTAAGGCGAAGAGGCAACAAAATTGCTGGCAGAGCTATTGAGTGGAATCCAGAAGACAGTAGAAGAACTGATCGTCCAAGACATACATGGCAAAGGACAATTAAAAACGAGATCAAAGCAGTAAACTGCTCATAGCGAGATGTCATATTAATTGCAAACAACCGAACCCGCTGGAGAGTATAAATTGAAGCCCTATGCTCCACGTAGGAGTAAAGGATAAAATTTTAAAAAATATATATTTTATATTTCGATACAAAAATATACAGGGTATTAAAAAATAATATATCTAACTTCGATGGGTGATTCTGAACAGATTTTATAAATATATGCCCTAAAAAGCTACAGCCCTCGAAAGTATAAATAAAAATAATATATTTTGTCTATTATTAATAACATCGGTAAACCGTTTTTCTTGAAATTTGGTACTTTTACACACATTTTAATTCTAAAACGAATGGCGATAGTGTGAAAATCCCGAGGGGTGTCTCACTTGGGTTAAAAATGTACATGTACTGCCAAAATATCATGTTACGCGCAAGTGACTGCCAATGACTGCGAAGAAGACTGCCTAATGCCATGTAATTATTATAGGCGACTGCCGTAAGACTGCCAATGACTGCCAGCGACTGCCAAGAAAATGTACATGTAATTCCAATAGTGAGACACCCCTCGGAAAATCCATAACAGTCCTGAAGGGACACTTTCCATTAAGGTAGAGGGTACTACTTGTTTTTGACAACTTTTTTTTGTCATAAGAAATACAGTAATTTCAACAGATGATAAAAAAATCTGAGACTTTTTCACGTAAAAACGGTGCTTAGTTTAGTTCAAAACGGTAAGATCATATTATATGGTATGTAAAAAATACAGGGTTGCATTTGAAATAACGAAGTTTTATATAAAATAGATCAGCAATTTTTGGTAGGTACTCCTGTATAAATTTAAGGAAGCAATAACATTTGTCAGTAAAGTGCATTTCCCCACCTTTAAATTCAGCACAGGAATTAATTCCGAAAAGTAATGTAGTAATGTACAGGGTGTTAATAATCTATTCTATTGTAGCATGCATATTTAAATATCTCAAAAATCAAAGATATTTATCCCTTCTTATAATATATACCTTTTATTGGATCCAAGAATCCAAAAATGAAATAAAATACCGGGTGTTCTATAACAAAAAATATAACTTTGGTATGGATCTTATATTTTTTCTTATAATAAAAATATAACTTTGGTATGGATCTTAGTATGGTGCCCGGTGGCGTCGAGGTACAGCTCTCGTCTACCAATCTAAAGGTTGTGGGTCCCAATAAGGTCCCAATCCTACAGCCGGCATTTGATCAGCCATCAGATTTAATAAAATAAAAATAGTTTAAGTACCCAGGTGGACTCAGCCTTAAATGAGTACTTGGGATTCACAATCCTGAGGTAATAATAGGCGGTTGAAGCTTTTTATTCTTAATCTAAGGTTGAAGCGTAGTGCTAGCCACATTACCTTCCTTGTCTACCGAACGGCTCTAGCATGGCGAGCTCATGTACCTTGCTACTCCCAAGGCGTTAAACGCTATGTACGGGAGGTATTATATTATATGGATCTTAGTCCTGAAACACCCTGTATATTCAAAATAATTTAAATTTTTTAAATTGTGCACATTGTCTCCCCACATATATCCATAAAATATTTTGTTTCTACATCTTTCCGTTTTCGTATAATCAACGGAGGAGAATGAGGTGCGCCACCCTGTATATAAAACTTTTTTCATATTTTTGTTAACGATGATATTAGATGTACTCGGACTAACGGGCCACCCTGTATATAAGCAAGAAAATCGATGGCTGACGACGGTCTAAAACAAGAGCTTGCGTCCTCGGAAACCCTATCATGTTTCTAATTACTCTAATTGGATTTAGATACATGCAATAGCTTACGTGCTCCAGAAATTTCTCGCAAATGAAAATAGGATGTAACGGGTTAAAAAATGCATAAAATACAGACAGAATATTTATACGGAGTTAAAATAAGGTATAATTAAACATATTATAAAATCATGAAGATTTTAGCCAAGTAAATCAACAAAACTTGCCCTTTGTAAATATTGTCTTATTATTTTTCTTGTTCTAACAAATCGATATGTACAAATGTACACACGTTTTACATTACAATAACAAGCAGCGTGTCAACATGATCCACTATCCATTTCTAAATATATCTGAAAAATTGTTTACATATTCCCCAAGGCATTCGTACGGCATTTTCATAAAAGAAAAACACCGTATCAATTCCAGATGTTCGTACATATTTGTTATTGACCGCGAATTCTTACAAAGAATTGAATATATTGATATATACAGGGTGATCCGAACTGTATTCCGGAAACTTGGGCAGCATATTCTGCAGATAAAAATAAGTAAAAAAGTTCGTATAAATGTTTGTCCTAAAATGCTTAGTTTCGGAGATACAGGATGTAGAAGTTTCATTTTTATTTCGATTTTTCTAAATAATTTCTGCAGTAACGTCAATATTTGGATGAAAATTGGTGTTTGTTTTTTTTGAGATGAGAAATTTGATTTTGAAGTCAACATCCTACTTGTAAGGGGCGCCACCTACACGTGTTTTAACTGTTTTGAAGAGTAATAACTTTTCTCTCGCCCGTACCTGTATAAAACTACAGTGAAAAAATGTACATTTCCGTGATTTTTTACGTAAAAAATGTCTCTAGGCAGGGTCTATTTTTCATCTGGTCGGGCCCTAAGGCCCAAGCAAAAATTCGGGTCCTCTTCCAATAAAATTCAAAAATTCAAGAAATTATGAATATTTTACAACCTTTAACGGGCCCCCAGACCACCGGGCCTTATGGTAAAATAGGCCCTGTCTCTAGGTAAAAATCGCTACGAGCAATCGCTCTCAAGATATTTAGAATGGAAATAGTCAATACATGTGTCTTTATTGACAAAAAAATAAATATGGGTAGACAGTTTTTTGACTGAAATGATTTTTGTGTCATGACTTTATGTCAATGATGACAGGTATTGATAATTTCGATTCCAAATATCTCTAGAACCATTACTCGTGGCGATTTTTACCATGAGACCTTTTTTACGTAAAAACCGTCG